GTTAGGGGAACACTTGCCTTGAACCTGCTAGCCACATCTATAATTTGTAATACTGCTTTCCATGTCTTCCCCTTATATTTATCATTCGTAAGAAATAAGAGGTCGCACTGATGTACACAATTTGGTTTTTGAATTTTTCCATAACTTACCCGTGGAGTATCTTTCGGTGACGGAGCATACTTTTGCCATTCATTCTGGTTATGTAACCATTCACGAACTTTTTTATATGGGAATTTATATCCTTTATCTTTGATAGCATTATACAGCTTTCGAGGGTTAGAATGATAACCAGTAGGTTGGTAAAAAAGCAATTTACAGATTATGTTTAATTCCTCATCTGGGTCGATTCTAATAATAGGCGTGCTCAATTTTTGCGAAGTATGGTCTAAGGACCTACTCATTTTCGATATTATTCATTATAGTAAAAAATTATGTCAAAAGATAAGCCAAGAGACAAAGTCTCCTTTCTATGAAAGATATAATATGCCATAAAAATAGAGACAAAGTCTCATTACTTCGTAATACCATGGCATTTCATCGACCAATCCCGCCTTCTCGCAATTTGCCACATTTTTTACTCTCAAAATATAAAATGGAAACAAATAATTTGCTAGATCCGGCATTCGTGCAACTTGCACAATCGAATATCGAATTACGAGAGGAGTTAAATCGGGAGGTGGACATAAATCGTACCAATGAGAAAAAAATCCGTCAGCTTATACGGGATTTAGAAAAATGCGAGGGAGAGATAATACGCCGTAGTCTTACAATCACCGATCAAGAGAATGAAATCGATGATTTAAAAATCCAAATATCAAATTTACGAAAACAATTGAGATCAGCTCTCAAGGAAATTAAGTCAAACGAAAGTGTTATTGATTCCAAAAATAATCAGATAGTGGGGTATGAAGAGGATATTTTAAAGCTTAAGGCAAGAATCAAACAATTAATACCCCACAAAAAAATATTGCCTAAGAAGCAAAGCTTCGAGTCTCCGACTCATCAAATAGAAATGGCAAATCTTACTCCACCGAGAATACCACAATCACCGAGGATGGATGATACCACGTTTAGTTCCGTCAGCCAATCAATTAGAAATAAATTAGGCAGAAATCACGCGGTTGAACATGCGTTAGATGAATTAACTCGATTTTATAATCAATCTCAACTTGAGTTAGCGACAGAAAGAAAAAATACTCGAATCGCTATCGATGATGCTATGAGCTGGCAAAACGCTACTGCATATATATTGGACGATTTGGATAAAAACCATAAAGACGAAAAATTAATGCACACATTCTGGCGAGTCTATTATGAGAAAAATACAGCCCGGTTATTATCTAAAATTTTTGCTCTCAAATTCTTTGCAATGGATACAAAAATAAAGCCCAGTCACGTGCAAGACTATATGGGAAATACAATAAATGGAAAAATAGGACGAGGGCTAAGCACGCCAAATATAACAAGTGGAAGCTTAGAACAAGGTTAGTCCGCGATGCTAATTTAGAATTGGAAGACCGAATTAATTTTTTAAATCAGAGAATTTTGGATTTACAGAATAATATACCGCAGAATCATAATAACAATCGAAACATGGCAGGATACGCACCACCCCTATTTTACGGAAAAGCCAGAGAAGATCCTGAAGAATGGATTAGAGATTTTAGACAATACTGTGAAGCATCTGGGCTTGATCCACTTGCAGACGCTCGAACCAGAGTAAGGATTCACGGACTTTTTGAGACTTGTTTAAGAGATGATGCAAAAGATTGGTATGAAACTCATCTCAAGAATAAAAATTGGGAATTGCAAAATATTAGCGACAATACGGGTCTTGCAGATCTCGGTGCCATCAATGGATTGGCTAATAATAATGCATTGCGTAATATCAATGCTAATCAGTTTAGAGGCGGAGCTCTTCAAATAAGAAATACAGTTCCAGCTGACAACAATGCAATTGCTATACACGTACCATTGGTGCCAGCACATACCGTTTTTGATGAAAATTGGTTGATATCTGGTGGACGACCAACAGAACTAGCACCTAATGCACCTAATGCTAATGCAGGGGGAAATACTATAGCTCCAGGAATTCGCATCGGACAGGTACTATATTGGTTTAGAACCAATTATCCCACAATAACTGCCGAAAAATCAAAAGTGGTATAACATTACTCAAGGTACTGATCCTATAGGTCGTTTTTACGTAAAATTGAAAAGAATGGTTGGTCTTGCCTATCCAGCACTTCCAGCATTGAATCGAGAAGAAATGGTTAGACAGCAATTCTTTCAGGGCCTTTCTCCTGATAACAAAATAGAAGTAAGACGTATTGGTCTCGAATATCCAATTTCCGCTTTACTACCAAAATTAAAAGAAATTGAAAGACAGAAGGCTGAAATGATGGGTCAGTATAATCCTGAATCTCACCCCGTTATTTCTCGATTACAATCTAAAGATAACGCAAAAGATTCTTACATAACAAGCAATACGGATATGACTGAAACTGAAGTCAGAAACTTGGTAAAATCTATGATGTTATCTGAACAATCTCAACCCGTCTCGCAAACTATCTCTTCTAAGCCTCAGGAGAACCAGATCACGCTTTCACAAAATGATTTCAAAAAAATTATAGCGGGTTTGAAGGGAACTATTGCTAAAGGACAACAAACTTTGAAGAAACCCCCCGGACCAGGAAAACGAAAAGCCGATGATCTTGCTATGGATTGTTTTTTAGAAAATTTAATAGACGATCCAGGTTTACCTGGAGAGGACTATGACTATGACCCGGTTGAAGATTTGAGACTACAATTCGAGGAGATGGATATTAATCGAGCAAAATTAGCTCGAATAATACATGCTGTTTTAAAATCTTCTCAATACAAATGTTCAAAGTGCGGTAAAACAGGCCATAATTCTCGCAATTGCCCTAAAAATAAAAAGAAGAGCAAGTCTAGACGTTCTAACAAAAGCGGATCTAAGAAAAAAGGTAGGGTTAATCTTGCTACTAGTAAAGATTCAGATTCTGAGTCTGACGTTAGCTCTTCTGATAATGAATCTACAGTCTACCCTCCATATATGCACCCTCCATATATGCACACCCTCCATATATGCACGCCAAGTCTTATTCCCAAGCTTGGGAGTTAGTAAATATATGCACACCCTCTATATTCTGCATTGCACGGTTTTTTTCACTTCCCGCTATGAAATCCACCCTCTCTATATGCACGCCCGTGATTTTCATGTGATTTTGTACAACAAATGATAATTACCATTACACAAGATATCTAAACAAAGTAAAGATCATACAAAGAGTGTGATTTGTAATACTTACATATTGCGTTGTCTTATTGGTTACACTTTGAAAGAAATTCGTGAATCATTGTCAAAATTGCTTGTTTAACAGTCTTTATTATTATTATTATTATTATTATTATTATTATTATTATTATTATTATCATTCCTTCGTTTAATATTAACAGGTCAGGTAAATAGAGAATTAATGACGGATAAAGAATTTGTAATCATCATGAAAGAAATAAATACAATTGTTTGACATCTTTTGTTAGAGGTCAGCATTCGGCGTTATGAATTGCATAAAGAATTTCGTGAAAGAAATAAATAAAGAGTTTAGAATTAGAATTAGTTCGTTCCTTTTGCAACAGCAAGATTCTAAGGAGTTACTTAAACAAGTTAATGCTCTTGATTACTACATTAATTTTGTCTTTCATTATTATTATCATTATTATGAATAAATAAAATATATATCACGTGCAACCAATAAAATGCCGACTCTACATATATGCACACCCTCCATATATGCACGCTCCAGCTCTTCCCAAGGGGCGTGCATATATGGAGGGTAGACTGTAATTCTGACTCCAACTCTGGGTCCGGTTCCGAATCAGAATCTGACTTAACTGAGACTGAAATCGTGAAAATTATCAATGCCGTTAAATCAAAAAAAAAGTAAAGCGGAAGGGTAAATCATCCTCTAAAAAGAAATCTAGTCCAAAGAAACGTACTTCACAAAAGAGATCAGGTACGATTATCGACTCACAAATTCGAAAAATTATCCTAGCTATGTTTAACGATCCAGAGGTTATAGAAACGATTAAAAACAATATTAATAATACAAATGTATCTATGACTCGAAGAGTCGCTCCTGAAGGGCCTGCACAACCTGACTTTATAAATTATCGAGAGCCGGCCCCAGAAATACCCGAATCAGATGATGAAGAGGAAACGCTGAACGATCCTATGGAGATTGATTTCGTCCGTCGGAAAGAACCGGTAATTAGTATTGCAACTATACCAGTTAAAATCAAACGCTTAAAAATTCCAGCATTGGTACTTGATAGTGGTGCCGAACCTGCAATTGTATCAGAAGATATTGTTAAACGTATAGGCGGGAAAATAGATAGGTCAGAAAAATACGATCTTAGTGGAGTCGCTACTGTTCCAACGGAATCTGTTGGTATTACTCATAATTTGCCAATAACATTTCCTCCAGGTTTTACTATACGTGAAGATTTTGTAGTTGTACGAGTTCCTAAACCGACATTAATATTTCCAAATCCGCTTCTTAAAAAATATAAATGTGCTGTAGACTGGGGTAACGATAAAATGAAAATTCATTACAATGGAGAAGATTTTATTATTCCGGTTACTATGCACAAAGTCAAGAAGTAAATTGCGCTACTGCAACTCAGGGTGATAAGTCATTGATATCCGATCAAATTTCTCAAGGGGTCGATAGTAATGAGGGGGGTAATGAACCATTGGAGGAATGGCATACTCCTGCGGACTTTAGCCCAGATTTTGATGATCCGTCGTTAAAAAAAAACGCATGAGCTATGAGGAGTTAGAAAAATCGCTATATGCAATACTCGATTCCAATGTTAAATTAATCGAACTCAATAAAAAGTTGCGGGTTTGCCAAAGACAGTCACACAATGGCTATAAAAACGAATCTGATAACTTAAATGAAAAGATTACTAATATCGATATAGAGAAAGCAAAGATAGATTAGTTGGAATTCAAAATCCTTTCCGTTTCACGCTCAGCTTCTTCCATTTCTTTGCGATTACGTTCGATTAAAGTATATAGGTCATCTTTTTTTGTTATAATTTCAGCAGTATTAACTTTACTATCCACTGTGTGACTTCCCCCGGCGATAATATTAGATGGGTCAGAAATTCGATTAGTCTTAGATCTCAGTTTTTTCCTCTTTATCTGTATATCGGAAGTAACGATAGGAGTTTCTACAGAATGTGTAATGTGATTGATAGATCGAGTATTGTCTCCACCAATATTTGATTGCGATATCACTTCCCTAGGATCTATTGGAGGATGGTTTTCCCTCCATATTTGATATACACGCCTTGTTGATATTTTATATTTGATAGCCGTAGCTTCTGATGCACGTTTCATCGAATTTCTGGCATTAATGATATCTTGTATATTATCATCTGATAAAGGAGTTGCATCAGATCGCAGATATCGAATTATTTTTTCAGAGTTTTGAGTCATGATCTATTTATAAAAAAAAATAAAAAAAAAAATATTTAGATATAAATTCGAAAATTTTTCAATCTAGTTTCGATACGTATCTAGACTGTTCGGTAAATATCCAATTTTGTTTCGATATATCTAGATCATTCGGTTAACATCTAATTCTATTTCGGTAAATATTCGATTTAGATATATCGGTTAATATTTAACTTTATTCGGTTAACATTTAATTCTATTTCGGTAAATATTCGATTTATTCATTTTTATTAGTTTTGATATCGGAAGTTTGTGATTTATAGATATCACTAATATAAGTTATTCAGTATTTAATTGATTTTTTTATTATATTATCTATTATTTGATATGACGTATGCGATAGATCTTGAGAAAGAAATACATCGTATCCTCCAATCTTCTTCTAAATTGCGTAACTATAACGGTGAGTTGCGGGATAAATACATAAAGCAAGAAGAGAATTTTGATCAAGAAAGAAAGAGATGGGATCGGGATAGAAAGAAGTGGAGTAAAAAACTGGGAGGGGCTAATAATGAGATCCAGAAATTACGCACTCACGATCTGGAGCTTATTAATGAGACTATACGTCTACAGATTGAAAATACTCGCAAAGATATCTCTCTTGCGGAATCCAAGGCTAAGCATGCTACAAAATTAGAGGAGATTAAATCGCTTCGGAATGGGATGAAATTATTGAAAGATAAGCTAGATTTATCTCAAAAAGACTCATCAAAGAAAGGGTCCGAAATCGACTCTCTCAAGTCTAAGATAGTTGAATTAGCTTTAAAAATTAGTGAATTGAAGCGTCTGAAACCTGAGGATATATCGAGATCTATAGGCTCTTTGAGTCATGATTCGGAGAATCGCCTAGGCACACAAGTGCCATTGTTCCACAATACGACCTGTTTTGCAATAATTGGTGGAGATGACGAAAAAAATACGCTGTGCGAGGAACAAAGTTCCATAACCAAGCCTGACGATATATCTGCAATTAATGAATCTAGCAAAAATCTAAGTAAGTATTTTGTACGCGGAAAAGGTATGGATCAAGCTGAAAAAATCGATAATGATATCTCGACATATACTAGCACCTTTGGTACTTGCTTCGCTAATGATAAGATTATCGAACTATCAAAAAATGATACCGAGGCCAACCCCAAGGTAAGTAATGAAACTAGCATTAGTGAAATTAGTGAGGATATTACATCCCAATCTCAAGAAATAAAAAGTGCGAATCCACACCTTACTCAACGGGAAAATAATAGCGGAGCTAGTGCTAAAGCACATATGTCCTCTTTGATTAAATCACATTCTCATATGAGACCTAATCTCGAGGCTTTGCCTCTCCCTGTTGTAGCAAGTACTTTGATGTCACCTCTATCAATATATATTTTTCTTATTCTATTAATTATTGTGGTTATGTGGTTTGTAATATTGAGACGTACATGGAATATAGGTAGGCTCGAAGAGCCTTTGCTCCGTAATAAAAAAGTGATCAGCTATGGGATACGTGGATGAGATAAACAAGACTATCTATTTGAACTTCATCACTCGATTCTGGATATTTTATATAAAATAACTACTAGTTTATTTTTTTCGAACTTGAGAGAAAAAAGAAAAAAGAGCGCGAGAGTATGGACGAAATCGCTTTCTTGGAATACAAACAAAATTTTGAGACTAAGATGAAAGTTCCTACTACTCCGCACAAAAAAGAATTAAAAAATCGATCTTTAGCTCTTATCGAATATATATAACCTAGCTAAATAGTAATTTCTGAAGCAGAGAAATTGCTACGTCTGGCTAGCTATTCATCTCAGGTAGGGTTTTTGTCGCCTCTTACAATAAGTATGAGAAAAAATTCAAATAAAAAATTAATGCTTTCGATACCTAGACAATATAAAGGGACTTTTGTGTCGCGTAATTTTTCGCAATAGAAAAAAATTGAGCTTTTATGTATTATTTAGGTAGATATCAGCAGAGCCAGCATGAAGCGCTAAAAAGTGATACGCAAAGGTTATCAAAAAGTAATATACAAAGGTTACAAAAAATTGAGCTTTTACGTATCATTAGGTAGATATCAGCGGAGCTGGCATGAAGTGTCAAAAAAGTAATACGTAAAGGCAGAATATTATAAGGAAAGAGATAAGATAAATTTTTGCTTTTACGTATTACCAAATAGGAATAACAAAGTGTCAAAAAAGTAATACGTAAAGGCAGAATATTATAAGGAAAGAGATAAGATAAATTTTTGCTTTTACGTATTACCAAATAGGAATAACAAAGTGTCAAAAAAGTAATACGTAAAGGCAGAATATTATAAGGAAAGAGATAAGATAAATTTTTGCTTTTACGTATTA